AGAATGATGCCAGCGAGAAGTTTAGTGACGATGTTGATTAAACTAATTCCTCTATGGTTTTCACAAGAGGATTTATCACCTTTCTTGTAAATCGGTATGATGACCGACTCACACCATTCAGCTGGAACCTCCTCTCTTTCCCATATTGATCCCAAGAGTTTTGTCAACTCCAAGACTAACGCTGAGCCTATCTTCGTGATGAGAACAGTCCACGTGGGCCAGAGGCCTTATGCCTTTTAAGGTACCTTATTTCCCGAGAAACCTCCATTTCAGATGGAGGACTAGCATCAACTGGGAGTATTTGTCCAGTCGAGGCGGAGAGTGGAAGATAAGCTGTCGATGGGGGCCAGTTGAACTGAGCCTTGAAGTGTTCAGCCCAACGGCTAAGACGGCGTTGCTGATTGTGAATCGGTGTGTCAATGCATTCCTTAATTACCTCACTGACGCCCATTCTATTATGGCCCTTATTCCTAATGAGATGGAAAAGGTCTCGACTATTACCAATAGCCGCAGCTTTTTCCATCTCTTTATACTTTTCTATCCACCACTTCTCGCGGTCATTCCTCAGACTGTTGATGAGCTGGCGTTTAAGGGATTTGCGCGCTGTGTCGTATGTGGCATCCGGAGGAAGGGTTCTACGGGCGTCCAGCAGGGCAACCAAGGTCGACGAGATCCATCGTGTGTGTTTTGAGCTNTGAGGCGGAGTTCGACATTGTTTTTATCCATATCTGCATAGCTTCCTTGATTTGTTTCCAGTGATCATTGAGTCCTTCGGTTGGTGGTTGAACTGAGAATCGATCGGCGAGCTCATCTTCGAAGGCCGATTTGCATGAATCGCTGATACTGTATCGCGGATATCCTTTGTCAGTGGCTTTTTTGCGGTTGTTTGCCAGGCGTAAGGAGAACTTGACTCGTAACAAGGTGTGGTCTGTATCCACAGCTGTTGACCAATAAGAGCAGCAGTCTTGAATTGATCCCCTCCAGCGGTAACTGATGACGATGTGGTCGATTTGGGTCCAGCGCAGTGAAGAGGTTGGCGGTTTCCATGTAAGTCGATGGCCTTTCTTGTGCCAGAAGTTCGTTCTTGACAGGAACAGTCCATGGTCCGTGCAGAGTTGAAGTAGGTGATCTCTGTTGTCCGTCCAGTTGGCTGGGATTGCAGGTAGTCCGCCAAAATGCCTTTCTGATGCGTCCGGGAATCCCACTTGAGCATTGAAGTCCTCGATGACTACTACGATGTCCGTTGGTCGAACACTAATTGAGAAACGTCCTTGTAGAATTCATCCTTGATTTCAAGTATACTGCAATCGGTGGGTGCNNNATACACCGATACGACGAACAAGAATCGACGCTTCGTTCCGTAGCTGTTGACCCGTGCTGAGCCGTTGAGGCGTACGGCGCACAGTTGGCTGCGGACTTGAATCCGATCGAGAAGCGAGCGCTCAGCCTTGGCAATCAGCGCAATCCCAATATCAGGAACACCGCAAGCTTCGGATGCCGATTCGCCTGACACACGAAGGACGAAGCGTGAGGTTGGGTTAGGAGAACGCAGGGAGATGATTGAATTAGGGTCTTGTGCACGTGTTTCGTTGACACAACATACATCCACATTGAAAGTTTCGAGAATTTTAACCAGGGTAGCTTGTTGGCCAATCTGATAGAGCGTGCGGCCACGTTAAAAGGGGATTTTGACTTTAAAAATCCTATAGCTTCTGAATCTCTGGCCTTGCTTGTAAAACGCTGGGTGATATTCGATGGGTAGCGTAAACAGGAGGCATCTGGGATTAATCGGGGTTGAGAAGAAGAACTAGACAGAACGGAAGGGTCGTTTTCCAAATGGGTGCCCAAGAGTTTAGGGCACGGCATACTTCGCGGTTGCCCACACCGACGAAGGGGTTTTCCTTTGGGAACCCTAACCGGAGCTTTTGACTTAAAAGTCTGACCGGCAAGACAGTGGGGGCGTAAATCTAACGCGGGTGTGTGAATGAAGCACCCGTGTGGGAGCTTCCAGAGATCTGTCACGTAAGGCCTTTGAATTTCGGTTAGGTTTGTTGTTCGCTGGTTGATTATCGGTCCACTTTTCGGGATCGGCCCTTAGCCTCATGCACCCAATGAGACAATCGGAACATGGACGGGACAGCACCTTATTGGTTGGGGGCTGCGCAGCTTGAGCGGGTGGTAGCTGTCCAATGAAATGCGAAGACTTCTCCTACCGTTGAGAGGAAGCCACAGGTGCCCCGCTCCTACTTCCATCTAACGGGGTTTTTCGACCGGTAAACTGCCCCTCACCGTGTTTATTTACTGGAGTGACCTCTCCAGGGGCGGATGTGGATAGAAAAGGAAACCAAGAGGTGCCCAAGCAGCTGGCTTTGTGAGACTGATCCTCGTCTGGCCTCTACACTGTGACCTTTCAGGCATGATTGGATCTACGGCTGTGAGCAGCTATCCTGAGTAGCTCGCAGGGTCATTGAGGCACACAAGCCATCGCACCACGTCAAGGTGCAGTCTTGTCGTTATGGCATAAGTGATAGCCTAAGCTTTGGTTCAACCTGTTGAAAAATGAGCTTTCGAGGCTTGCAGGAACGTCTATCTGGAATCACGGCGTAGTCGATTGAAGTAAAATCTGATACTGAGATCACATTATGCAGAGTACTCACGACAGACTAGTAAGTTTCGTCACTCCGTTCGGTATGCACTTTGCACCTTAAAAGTACAAAGCGATGTTACAAGATTAGATTTCGACCAATCCCTCTTTGAAAATAAATGACTAGGTTTTTCTTTGAACGATTGGTTCTCCTATGCGCGGTGAAGGAGATAACTGCACTCATTTCCGTGGCTCTGGTAGCATACGCATAACTGAAACCCCTTCGGTGTCAACGTGACACTTAACTGGCGTTGGAAGGTGGCTTTTGGTATTCCACCGTTTTGCTAGTTCTGTCTTGCGGTTTTGAGGCCCCGAAGAAGACATATGTCAACCAGAGGGCGATAGATGCGTAGGTTGCTTATTGAAAAGACCGGTGAAGGAAAGAATTTTTTTTCGATTATTCATTCTCAAGGTTCTACATTAATATATGATCACAAGGTGGCGACAACAGTCATGATTTACAAAATAAATAATTTTCTCGGGAAAGATTCACTGTCACATGGAATTCAAATTGATACATGTTTTGTTCACGCTTAACAGCTGATCTGGCGATGAGGCATGAAGAAGTGCACATAACGATTCGGTATAACAGATGTCTCTCGTCTACCAGGCTGGGGTCCAAAACCCTCCGCAACGAGTTGGTTGGTTAGTTGGAGACGTTGAAGAACATGACAGCCAACCGATAGCACTCTTGCTCTGCTTGTCACTTCTTATCAAGTCAGAATACTTTAAAAGTTGTGTGCGTGTGTACACATTCGGATTCTGTAATCTGTGTGTTGATCACGATAATTCACTTTCCTTTCCCTCTAAGCAAATACTTACCCAATGAACCTTACTCATTCGTATTTTGTCTTTTTTGCGAGTTTGTCAACGTTCAGTGAATTTCTCTATCAGCTAATGATGATGGTGATAGCTAAGGCGCACTAATGAAAGTGATTGAACATTGAAGGTTTCGGTGGCTGGAGCATGTGTTACGCATGTCGCCGTGTGGGTTCTACCGAGTCGAGTGGTAATTGAAGGGAAACTGAGAGTTGTCAAACTATTAGGGTATAAAAAAACCCTTGAAGGAGGAACTTGGAAAAAGAGGTTTGAGACGTCGTGACGGAAGACACTTATCAGACTCAGACTCTTCTGATCGACGGCTTTCAGATGTCACCAAATCTTGCCCGCTTGTGATGTCAAGATCATGTGAACAGTGGCGCGTTCTGTCGTTGTATATCGGCTACAGAGCTGTCCTTTAATCAAAGTAATTTATCCGATAACTTGAACCCACTGATAGCTGTTTGATCACTGTTGGGAGAATCGTACCTCCACAGTATCGCAGAGGAGCATGAGAAAAGTCTCCACATGCTCTGTTAGTCCTTTACAACAGCTTGATTAGGACTCGAGGATAAATTAATGTCGTTGTTTTGAAAAACGTACTTTATTCATCGTCCGGTCACTGAAAACATCTCAAATTGGAAAATGTATCATTTTATGAATTACACATCTGGTGAAATCATCAGATACAGTCAAAATAGCATTGCCTATGCGTATGTTCTGGCTATGGCGCCCAACGTAAATGAAAAAAGGAAATGTGAGGCAACGTGGCTTTCGGATGTGTGCCAAGAGTTCAGTTTGAGGGTGCCGGAATACGCCTGCACCAAAGTATGGGTCTAGCAATGATTGGCGTGATACCCCTGACAGTTGTACACACCCGAGTATCGCTAATATCGATGGTTTAAGTCCATAGGCACAATTTTCTTTCCTTTGTTGTCGAAGTGGTAGCATTCAGATCATTTGGCTTTTCTTCTGTCCGGGGATGATATCATAAATGGCAGTACAATTCAACAGACAGTGTTAAGATTCTGTTTGCGTACATTTGGCGTCACGTTCTTTGAATCCAGTGGAACGGCGTAAGCTATTGGATGTAACTGGTTGTCCCACCAAAGAGTCCGGTCGTTTCTCTCTTTCTTTTGGCTATAACCAAGACAGGACAACGCGATCGATTTGATTCCTCGACTCCAGGTTGTTCAATGCCTTGTTCGAAAAAGTATCATAGTAGGCTTCTGCAGCCGATAAAATTGTCCTCTTGGGAAACATATTTCACTGGCGTATTTGAATGTCGAATGTAGAGGTTTCTCACACCGACTTTCGGTATAAATCCTCTCTCGGCGAATTCGGTTGATAGGATTACGTGCACTCAATTGTGTGAAGCAACTCGTAATCGAATATCATGTCGATTGCTGAAATAACTGTTGAGTTCCGTAAGCAACACTTTAGTTTGTCTCAACGGAACTGTGTGGTGTGGTGTAGTTCTTTCTGAATTGTACATTTACATCCACCCTGCTGCATTCCCCTGTTCCTCATCCCTCAGTCCGAAAGATGATGAGGCCAATGTGCTTTATCATCCCAACCAGTGGGCTAACTATGCGGTGTTATTGCTTCAAGGTCGTGCCCTGGTTCAAATAGGTAATGAAGGATTGACGTTTGAAGCCGGTCCATTTGTGATGTTCGGGGAGACGGTCCTGAAGCGTAAGTTGAATTTGTTTCTCTGCTTGTTTGTTATCATGAACGCCATATGATTGATAGAATGGCCGGTAATCTCGGGGGCGAAACATCCTAATCCTGCCTCAGAGCGATCACTTAATCAAGATGACACACTCATTCCACTGTGCTATTTCCTTATCTGTTTTTTTGTTATCGATCTTAATAGGATGATGAGTGGATTGAAGTTCAGCTTAGTCTAGGTTGAACCATCAGTCCATTGATTAATTTTCATGGGTTGTGTTCGGTTAGATATTTATTGCACATTAATCTAGCTAATGTAGACGAATGTATCTATGTGCATCCAATGATCGCGTATTAAAATCTGAATTATAAATATTTTGTTCTTGTTGTTTTTGTTGTGTCTCACTAACACTTGGGTACCATTTGATTGTTAGTGGAACTCAAGCAGCAAATATTCCGGTTGGCCATCAATACCAAAGTTTCCATTGTGCATGGGTTAAAACAGATTAGTAGTATGCACCCCTAAAATTGACCAGTCCAGTTATACGTAGACGTATTATGAATCATTTGGAGAACCCTTCTGTCAAGTTAAGTGAAAAGCCCACACACATGTCTGAAGACTAAATCGAAATGGAAGATGAATCATCATATTCCATATATGAAGTGTTTTATGTATCACCGTTTCCCGATAGCTTCTTTCACGAGAATTCATGTTTGGAGGAATACAGACCTACACAAAATCACATAAGACAACGCGTTCTGCCATTCTCCCTCTCGCTGTCACGCCTCTTGCTTCTGCACTCTCTTTTCTCCTTTGCGTTACCTCGTTTATGCATTTGTGACATACAGGCTTATCCACTGTACCATGACCTACCAAATATAATGTGTATTAGTATTCGTATTCGTTTGCGCGGAGAGGTCTCCGCATTTCAGATAAAAATTACACATCATTTCATAGAGCTGGAAATAATACAAGTAAAAGATACTCCACCAAGTTTCTTTATACAGTTAAAAATATGGGATGACCAATTTAAGTTTGCGCCAATACTTCACGGAATCTACTCTGGCTAGACAATCTCTGTTTATGCTCAATGGGCCATGGGGATAAACAAATCGAGAGCGAGTAAACGTGCATTCAAAACACTTGCATAAATTAAGCGACAGTCCAGAACGAACGGAGAATTCGTGGATATGCGATAGATTAAACGATACATTTAGAAGGTTCTTAGGCACCGAAATGTCTTGGAAAAGAGCTGCGTCGTCAGAGTATTCAAGTAATTGGAATAGACAACTCGCTTGCAAGTGACTGATAAAGGTGTTTACAAGAACGGAGAAAGTACCGCTCCCTTGAATAATCCCACATTGTTCAGCAGCCGTTTAGATATTTCCTTACTCACTCAAGTATGCTGAGTTCTGTTTGTGAAGGAGTCAACGACCCACACCAACAGGTGCTTGGGACAGCCAAGTGATTCCCTTTTCACGAAAGAGGAGGGAACGTGGAACGGAGACAAAGGCTGATGAAAAATCTAAGAAAGCACATGTTACGGATTTCGCGGATGCGTCTAGGGATTTGGTAACGTAATGAACTAGGAAAGCAACAGCATCCAAAGTGAACCTGTTTGATTTATACGCAAACTGGAGAGGGTCTTCAGGGAATTCTTAAAGGGGTAGATAAACGTTTGAGAATAATATGTTCTGCCAATTTTAGACCACACGATCGTAGGATAAGGTGCGGGATCTACACGGTTTTGGCATGAGGATGATCGTGACTGGTCTCCATCATTGAGGAATAGAAAACGTGCCAATGATGTATTGAGAAGAGAAGTGAATACGTCCGCCGGATCAAAAGCACCATACTTTAGAACGGATAACGATAGAACGTCGGGACCGATACCAGTGGACGACTTAGTTGTACGAAGGAGTTTAAAAACTGCCGGAGAATGGGGTCATATTGGCAGCATCTTCCGGAATCCATAAAACAGGAGGATCAATGCTCGGATGCTCTATGATCTTCTCAACATCCACAGCATATTTGATTGGTCTGGATTTTGTTCCACAGCGGATCCGAATACCTTGTTGAGGCTGCGTAGGGGCGGTTTCGCGTCAGACGAGTCGATACGCTTAATTTCCTTTTTTGTGAATGTGGAAACGTAGATGAGTTCCGGGATTTGTATAAGTGCTCTTAGTGTCTCCCTAATGTTTTGAGTTTCGGAGAGGCAATACGACCATTGGAGAGAAACAGGGTTTCCAAGGGAGAACGGATGTCAAAGGCAGAAGTGATTGCATCGAGAAAGATTCACATCGTTGTTCAATGAAGACTCAAAGGAGAACCAGGAACCCATATAGAATAAGGACACCTTTCAAGAATACTATTTGAATTGATTGTTCATTATAATATGAACTAGATTATCCAAACGCGTTTTTAGAAAACCTTTGACGATCACCCGAAGTACTGACTATATTAGGTTGCACATGGTAAAGAAGTTTCGCTGCCATTTCCGGGTACACTTCATCATGCCTTGTTCACTCGAAGGATTGTAATTGATTAAATTCCGGTGCGCCACCACCGCAACCTAATGATTTCACATTGTTGGTAGGGTGTGTGTTTCTGGGCCAAGGGAGAGGTCGTAATTAGAAGACGCGGGCATAGCTGATATAGTGCATCGCCCAGTGGGTTCACCCTGTGCAAATATGCTTGGCGAATTTGATTCTGCCCATCAAATTACGTGCCACCAACTGGGCCGTGAGTTCTACCCATGTACAAGTTGTTCACGTGTCAAACAACTTTGATCTCGTCACTTCTCGTGGCATATTTCATCATACGTTCACGTCGTACAACCTTCACGTCATTGGGAGTAATTCGCGTATTTGTGTATGCGTTGGACCGGTTAAGATGGACAGAGTTACGTCAAAACCTTTCAATCGCTCGGTAATTCTCTCTCTCTCTCTGCATATATACGTTCGAGACAGATTGTATGTTATCGTATCCGGGACATGTTTGGGTACATTATTTTAGAATAGTCGAGCTTAATAATAGATGGCGCATATGACCTGCTAACGAAGCTTTGTAAACAAACCGATTCCTGACAAAGTGATAAAATACTGAATATCGAGAGATAATCGATTGAAGGTCGCAAGTTTGTCGCCAGATGTTTTTGAATTCTGGATTTATTATAATCAACCAGATATTCTGTTTGAACAGAATCCAGATTAGGGATTTATG